CATTGAAAACTTTAGCATACTATGAAGTGAACGCACCAGCGAATCTGAGGATTTTCACCGAAGAAATATGGCTCAAAAAACAACAAAAGTAATTATGCCGCCCATACAAACATGGCGCATGTTTGTATTTGTATGGGAGGCATAATTACTTTATGTTAGTTATGAGAGTTATGTTGTTAAGTTAGTATGGAAGGCTCAATTTTATGAATTTTTAATTCAAAGAACTCTGTCCTAATTTGTTCTAACTGCATGAGAAAATTTTTAGTTTTACGTACCGTTAACGATTTGGATTTCACCCTGTATATAGACAGAATTCGATAAAGTTACTTTTTCAATTATGAACATTTTTTCACAAACCAAACTTCCTTAATGAATAAAAAGAAAGCTTTTGTTTACTTTTAGACGTGAATACATAGTAGTGGCAAGGAGTCATTCCTCCCTGTCTGGTCGAGTTTACTCTCTAGCGGGGAACAAATGAGGCTTGTTAACAGAAGGTCAGCCACTTGTATAATTTATTGAGTCAGCCAGTCTCCGACACAACGCGGCACGAGCCCGTTTTGATATTTTTACATCTTTTTCTTAAAAAACGTACTAAGGTCAATCTTAAATATAATCTGTTAAATTCTGTAATATACCTAAATAAAGTAAAATGGGAGATTTTATATAAAATATACCTATTAAATGCCGTAATGTAATTAGATAAGTCTTTAGCCGATTCAAAAACTGTCGGTAAAACGGAAGATACGGATTTTGTGGAAAATAGACCTACTAAATGTAGATTCATTACGATCATCAAAAATATTAGTTTGATGGATTCATTATTTTTCAGTTAACCGAGTCGAATTGTTGACATGCTATAATATTTAGACATACGTAGGCATATATAGACATAATTGTCGTTAAAGAATGGTTTAAATGATAAATCTATATATATTTTATTTAATTTTCTACATATGCACATACCAATTATATATTGTAATTAAAGACAATATAAAGACATTATTCTTACTAATAATTTATTTTAATTATTTAAACATGTATTTAAAGAGTAACAATAAGATTCGAATCCAGCTGTAATAGACATTAAATTGAGCAACAAATTTATTTAAGAAACATATTAGGTGTATAAGTAGAGGAAGATTCTATCTTCCTCTTGAGTTCTTTGATTAATACGATACCTAACTTAATTCGTTTTCACAATATAATAATAAAATGAAAGGGCGACGAAAATCTCTTTAGGAATATATTTGATATTTTCGGTACAGAAATTAGTGGTTGGAGAGACGATATGATTCCCCGGCCCTACTTACCGAACGCCTGAAGAGCAGCGACACCAAATAGCGGGGAACGAATTAATAATAAAACAAAGCGGCTTATATTACTTTAAGGTTATGTGTAAAATCGACCTTATGTGTAGAGTGATAGGATCTTAATTGGGAAATTCATAGCATCGTATTTACCACGCAAGGTGGATGCGCCAGCAGCAACGTGCCTACGTTACTGAAGCTCTTTGTTTGAGTTGAAGAGCTGACTCTAATAGCTTGCAGCGGATCTGCGCTTAAAAATGGACTTTTAAATATTTTATGAAGAAGTCAAACGGGGTAAAAAATGTAGTGTATACACGTGCATTATTTAAGAGTGGCGATATTATGCACCAGATATTATTATAAATAGAATATTTATATGTTTAATTACTTATATGTACATAAATTTCTTAGATTTTGTATTTTACCTTATGAATTCGTGAAAAGGGTAAAGAAATAATTTTATACTCACTTGTTTTCGTTCGAGATCTAAACTAAATAAATGATCAGTTTTCACAGATATAAAGATTATAACCAAGCACTGATAAGTAATGTTATGATTTGAAATATAAAGATATATTTCTTCTATATGTAAAAAATTTAACTGTTTCATATGTAAAAGTGAGAACTTAATTTATGTGCACATTATTACAAATTTATGTTTCCATATTTACTTAACTCACAGTTTATTTACAGTGCATTGAAAGTAAATGTAAATAAGAACGATATTAATTAAAAAATTCCTTAAGTAGAACATTTTCATATCTCATATACTATTAGATATCTTAGAATACAACTCACAGTACCTATTGTGAGCTAACTTAAATAAATTCGTTTTCCAATTTGACCCAATCGAGAATCGAACTTATTTAATCGTTGTAATGTTCTTTACCGCTGCGCTACGGAAACTGTAATGGCCACTGCTTTATTATCAGTTAAAAGGTCTTTTATTGGAACTGGTGTTGAGTTTCTAAGAACTTTTTATTCTTAAGCTACTTTTAAATGGAGTTCTCAATCTTCATTAATATCTTAGCACTATTACCTACTTATAATGTTACTATAAGTTTGTTTACTTGTTACTTCATGGCGTTTTAATGGTTCATACGAGCATTGTGAAATTTGATATACATATATTAATTATATATCGGATGGAGAAGGAGAGGGACATTTTATCGCCATTAGTGAACATATTCCGGTTACGCGGATGAAGTCATGGGTTAAAACTAGTTCGCCTATATTTATATGCATATTATGTTACACGCTTAGAATATATGGATAAAGTGACTCCATAGAAATGCTTAAAAAACGGGTTAATTTTTTCATACAATTTTGCGTGATAAATAGTTCAGTTAATGAGTTTATAACTTCTATAGTTATTTTGTTTTACAATTTTTGCATATTTTTAATGCGTAAACATATATTTTATTTGTTAAATAATACGTCAACATACATTTTATGCGTAAGTATATAGAACACAGATAAAAAAAACGAGCCAGTTAATTTGACAATTAGCTAACAAAATGTTGACCCGTTTTTGTGGCTTAATGCTCTATCTACTCGTATATAATTTAAGGTTACACGATTACGTCGCCATTTCTGAACAGATTATATTTCCGTTGCTGTTGTTGTTTCCATATTAATTTTATATTGATTGACGTTGGTTTTTCTCTTTGTGGAGCAAAAAGCTGCTTATTGCGAACAAAACTCAACTTGTAGTCACTACTCCGGTTTCTAAATCCATATACCTGTTTTTCATGATTAATGTTTATTTATTTATTTTATTCTTTATTGCACAATAAAACTTTGTACAAATGGCGAGCTTAATGCCATATGGCATTCTCTACCAGCTGGTACTTAACTGTTTTTATTTTTGCGGAACGAAATTGATTCAAGTGGTCTTATATGCATACAGTGCTTCAGAAGTTATTCTGTTATTATACAAATGTTTAAGAGCATGTGTGCCATAAAGTTATATCAACAGGTACCTACTAACCCACTTCGTAAACTTTTTGATACTGGTAGGTAACTTTTTAGCGTAAGAGAGTAAATTATAAGACGAAAAGTTTTTTATTTAGAGAATTTTGTCTTGCAAAAAAAAAAAGACTTCTTATTAGTTAAAAAATGTGGTATGATATTTTTATCATTATTACAGGGATATGGAAATGAAATTACAAAGCATAATACCTTAGTTCTCAGGAATGGCAACGCATGAAGAGTATCTTGGGTGACACAGTATACTCTGTTATGTCCATGGTACTGTTTATGTTTATAGATGGCGGTCACCGTTTTTTATCGTCATGTCGTTTGTGTTTATAAGTTGCATAAAAAATATAATGTATCTATTTACCGAGTGTACTATAGCCATAGCTTGCAAACTTTATCTTTTGTTTATGTACAAGTTGTCAAGTTGTGACACTAACTGTAAGTGGAAAAGTTGTAGCCAACATTGGTTAGATAGTTTATCATAGCTATGATCAGTTCATCTAAAAACGATAGAACTAAAGTGCTTATTGCTTTCAGAGTACTTTTACGCACAAGCAATTCATCAATAAACTCTATTGAGTTACTTATTGGTAGTATATGAAAACGTTGATTTTATGTATTCTTCTTTTCTACTTTTGTTAATAAATGTAATTATTTAGATTAATGATTTCGGTTTTAGACATAAATATATGACTTTCTACAAGACCTTTTGAGTTATTGAAGTAAGATATAAAAGTATTTGATAAATACTAGAATAAAAGGGCACACCAGTTTGCGGTTTGGTGGCAAATGAACATCGCAAGTCATAAACATTCCAGTCATTGGTGTTCTTAAGATTATTGTCCAGGGCAAGCCTGGTCCCTTAATAAAGGTGCATATAAGTATACTCTCAGACATATCCGTGGGCATGGTCCACTCATCTCCTCACCCTTCTTACATACGCCTACGATACCATCCCCCTTATTACTCATTCTTCTGAATAGGTAGAAAATTTATCATTATATACATTATCCTTAACGCGCACACAAGAAAGAATAAGACGCCGGATGTTTATATCTGGTTCTATTTCATGCATATGACAGCGATTACGTATCGAAAGATTTGTATGCCACTTATCAAAGGGAGTTTTTGATGCCTCGCTCGTCTTTTACAATGATATAAACTTATGCTTGTACATAAAGTTTAAAAATTTTAAATATTATATAAATTAAATTAACATAATATTCTGTACTAATGGGTATTATAAAGAGAAAAAATGTCATTGATTGTTTGTGTGTAACGGATAAACTAAAAATTAATAACACCAATTTTTTCAATTCTTTCATCTATAGAAAGTTAGATTATCAGCCAGTAACATAGGCTATAGTTATATTATTTTCAAACATTCTACCTACGCGTGCGAAGACGGGCCGGATCGCTAGTGTATTATTTAGGTAAGTTTTAGAAACTGACTACATACATATATTTCATTTAAGTGTATGTATTTACAAGTACGCTAGATTAAAAATAACGAAAGCACTATGACGATAAGTTAAAAATCAATAGCCGTGACAAGTAAAACATTAAAACTATTTTATAGTTTCAGAAATACATAGTTTAATATTTAAATACATAGTTAAATAAACAATGTTTTATATTAAACCGCCAAACTGTCACGTAAAACAATTCTAAGGTACTTTAATACATGACTGCAACTTTAGACATTTAACATACCTCTAGTTCCAGTGAAATTCCAGTCTGTGTCGTGTGTGTGGGAGCTCCGCGCATAGGGGGCGCGCCTCGAGCGGTTACCCGCCGTCCGCGGTCGCCCTTCGGTCACTGCAAATACAAACTGCTTGAGAATTCTTACCGACTGAATAAACCCGCAAAAGAAATACACATTCAAGAATGCTACAGTGAGATGCAGCTTTTACGGAAATGGTCGAGACATGTATGGAGGTAAATATATTTTAATACACAATAGTGTATTTAAAATTGACTTTTAAAAGAATTTGTGTAGAATTACGAGTAATATTTACATGTTTTAAATATATATGTATGTGTAATGTAGAAAATATGAGTATTATATGTATGTTATTTATATATTTCTATTTTATATTAATATTGCTTTTCATTTGCTCATCGCGTCGTTAATATTTTCTGTTATTCCTGTCTACAGTAGACTGGTAGATAACGCCATATAGTGTGAAGTCTAGGCCTATTAAAGTTTAATAAATAAATAAATGCTTCAAATTTTTCATCGTGGACACTACAATAGATATTTTGTTCAGTGAGGGAAGAAAGTGATCGATTACCAACTAGAGTGAAATTTTATGTTCACGCTGAAGGCTATAGGGCTTCAAATCACACGACTTGAGATTGTTTTACTTGTTTTATACGGAAACTATAATACACCCTTTTTGTTTATTTTTGTTATAGTTATTGAAACCTTAGTAAGATTATTTTCATGGGATATTAATTATCTTGAACTTTTTCTTTTATTTAATCTTTTAAAGCTCATTAACATTTTGTGTGCGTATGTTATTAATACCTTTTGTTACTTAACAAAATTACAATAAATAAAAATTGCGTAGGAAGGTACTATTTTTCTTTTATTTAAATACTTCGAATTTGGAATTACAGTTCTTTTTAATCTTGTATATGAAATTTCTGTTTTGGCGCGTATGTTTAACTAATTATAACAAAGCTAAGCTAATTAAGCTGCACTCACAGAAAAAAATAGAAATTAAAATAATTAAAGATAATAAAATTCTGTTATTTTGTAAATATGGTTTGAATCCTCAAGACGAAGGCAAAGGTACTTTCCCCTCTGTATCTTTTAGGTTTTAGGGGACCATAGTAGACTCATTCTTAGCAGATGTGATATAATTTTTTGCATTTTTTTTAATGAATTTGACATTACGAGTAAATTTCGAATTATTTATTTATATTCATAAAATAAAGTACAAAATAGTCTATAATACATACTTCAATTACATATTCAATTAGGTATTCTAACTACTATAATGCAACTAAAAATTTTATACAACTGGTCGTCACTATAGGCATACAGGTACTTACTGTTTATTACATATTCTGCCATACCATAAGCTTGATCCTTTGAGTTACTAGCAAAACACTGATAAATTCCCTGATCGTATATTTGCGAATTCTTGATATGTAGTCTTAGACCGTCCTCGGTTACTTTTATTCTGTCGTTTGACTTGAGAAGCCTTGCATCGTGTACCCAGTACACTATCTCAATGGGATGTCCGGAGATTTTGCATTCAAAACTAACGTCTGAATTGGTTTTTGTTCGCACCACCTCGGGTTTTATGCGGACGGAGATAGGATCTAAAAGAAGTAAATAGGAAATTGTATGCAGATAAAACGGCATATTCTAGTAGCTGGTGACAACTTGGATTTTTATTCATATTCAGTACATATTAGATTCAACTACTAATTTCAGATTATTAAATTTAACTACTTAGAGAAATAATAAACTGTAGTTTTAAAATATTATGATATAATGTCACGTATTTAGTGGGTAGATATTTTGTTTTTCACTCAATATAAAATGTAAAAATCATGCGTAATTCTGTACTTAATTAATAAGTAAAAATAAAACTTAAACAATATACTGTTGAGAATTACTAATTGCTATTATCATTGTCAAGCAGTTAGTCACTGATTGATTCACTTCAACTGATCAAAGTGATCAATCTCAGCCTCAACAGACATGAAGAGCATTATGGATTTCACAAAATAATCTAAACTGCATATTGCAGTTAAACTCAATATGTATAATTAGAAATTTAAATAAGAGTGGAAAATATATTTTGTATATTGATGATTATGGGCATAAAAGTAGACAATATTTGTAAATTTTACACTAAAATCAACAAAGCTTACATTCGTTGGCACTTTTATATATTAATTTTATGGTTTTCTTTTATAGCAAGTAGTAATTACTAATCAATATAAGTACAACATAATAGTCATCACACAGTATCCAAGATATTGCATCGACTATTTTACTTTTCAGGTACATTATTAGAAACATTACCTGTGACAATAAGGCTGAAGTGAACGGACTCTCCGCCGACTGTGTTGTTTAACCAGCAGACAAACCTGCCAGAGTCTTCACGGCGGACCCTCTGGATGCTGAGCAGACCACCACCTAATAGTCTGACTCGTTCCCACATAGGAGTCTTTTCTATTGGTATTAGCTGCTCTTGGTGATCACGAAACCACCTGTCCAAAATAAATTTAATTATTGAGAGACAATTTAATTCTTAGATATATTTAGTAACAAAAAAGTGTTTTGTTTGAACTAGAATGTTTTTTTACGTACGATGGATTTCCATGCACAACTTTAACCCTATTTTATAATACTCGAAGAGATACAATATTGAAGTCACAAAAAATATGCTCAAATAAATATACTTAATACAGGTATATGAGTAGATATTTGGTTGAGCATGATTTTCAGGCTACACACTCGCTCAGGCGTAAATTTGCTCCAAACCATGTGTAAGAATAAAGATTTTAAGATAAAAATGTTACCTTAAATATTATTAATTAATTAATAACTTATGATGTAACATATTTCAAATTTATTAGATTACAAGTTTTCGTCATTCTCGGAATATTAATTTCATAGCGATTGGTTAAGACGTTAAGACGCGAAAAGATAACAATCAAACAAACAAAGAAATATAACCAACTTTCACATTTATAGTATGTAAAGCCAATGAAAGACATCTATAATAGATATTAAAATATATCCAAAAATGACAGATATTTTTCGTCCTTATACAAAAAAAGAAAGTCCTTGGATGAATTACGTTGGTCCTCCAAGTTAGATCGTATCAATTATGCAACGGGTCAGCCCTCACGCCTACATTCGGTATTTCAAAGTCAATTGGTTTAATTGTATTCGTAATAACCTTCTTGGAATTAAAATTTCTGGCAATAAAAAGGCCTTCTTAGAAAATCTTTTACAGGTGAATAGATTATTATTCTGTATAGTGGTGTAGGTATAGTATTATTTTATGATCGATTTAAACGATTTAAAATTTTATTCACCAAACAAATAAAAAAGAAAATACTAAAAACTATAGGTAGAGGACAATGATATATTTTTTTCCCATAAATACGGTAGTAAACTCTGTGGGTTAAAAATAATTACAAAAATTCGTTTCAGAATTGCTAAAAATAGCGTATAGATAGTATACATATGTACATAAAAATACTAATGTATTTAGAACCTCGTCCTTTTTTTATAAAAATAGAGACTGATGTGAATTTTCGTTTTTTATGATATGTTTATATAGGTATTTTCATATTCATATTATACCTGTACAAACATGTTTTATGTTTAGTATCTGAATAGGAATATATATAAAAATAGCCAATACCAATATAGAATGCCAGCCGAAAGCCAGATTTACACATAAATTTAGGTATTAAAACTTAAATACGGTCTGCGTCCGACACGATAAAATGTCTATATAAGCCAATATGTAAATTGAATAAAATGAATGGGTGCTTTGGAAAAGCACAATATTTTACGCCTAAGAGAAACACGTTTTCCCTCTACATTGCCAGTCTTTCAAGTATATGGATTTAATTCATTCGATTTAGAAATAGGTGTAAACATTATTTTTCTTTAAAATACCAATCTAGAGAAAATGTCAGAAGAAACAAAATATATTAAACCTACCAATATATTATAAATGTGAAATTTTCTAAAGATTTTCCATTTAACAATTGTGCTGTAGTAAAGTATTATAGATATCGATTTAATATATTGGAATATTAATTTTTATTTCAAAATAAATAAAGAAAGTTTTTTGTATATATTAGATAGGTACCATATAGAGTTCCTATATGGTATCTATATAATAATTATACAAGAGCATTTCTTATATATTTTTTATGTATGTAATGTAATCCCAAATACGAAAGTTACGTATAAATGTTATATGCACCTATGACGTAAGTGTTCACATAAATAATTTGTGTTTCGTAACTGTAGCCCGTTTTGCGAGTGGTGACAAATTAGGAAAATCCACTTAAATTGTCCGCTATTTTCGTAACAACTTATGTAGGTACATGTACGTATTTAGACAGGTACATTTCCAACGTTGTAATACAATTTGGCGGGTTTTGCGAGTTAAATTTCTCCTTGACAGTTAAACCAAATCACGTAGTGGGCGGATTATAAAATTGCGGTGAAACCGTGTTGAGATCAAAACGGTTTCGCGACAAGATAAAACGCTCAATTTGAGGGTCACGTGCATCGCTGGATTAAATCTAAAATGAGATTTTTAGCACCAGTACGACAAAATTAAACTGCTATAGATTTAATCCAGTACATTTTTTGTGATACTAGAAGGGCAAACAAGTTGACGCCCACCTGATGGAATATCGCTTATAGACATGAACAGCGTTATGGATTTTACAGAATACACTCCACATTCGTTGCTCTATGCCCTGTAATTTTACTGCCATCACTGTTGAAACCTAAAACTCAAAATAGGTGGGTATCTAGCTTAGTAAATGTACGTTGCTGAGTTCAGACCTTTTCCATAAAAGGCGCCAAGGAATATTATCCACTATTGTTACGATCGCCAGGAATCTTAGTATAGGTTTTTATTTCGAGTTTTCCTTCTCTTGCACTGATGTATTGTACTGTTCCCCTAGTCGCCCCTTATGACATCCGGGAGGAAAAGGAATGGTGACACATTGCGTTCTTACTCCGTCACCATATAAATTATCTAGCTGAATGTACGTTGGTAATTTGAACTTTACATTAAGAGCAGATAATATAAAGGAAATTGCATATAAAATGTACATTATAAACATATACAGTTAATATAAATATAACACCATAGGATAATGAGTTTCCTAATTATTTGTTTCTATTAAAAATTTCTTTTTTTCTTACTTTTTCGATCATAAGTTATTTTTATTATTATTTATTTAAGTAAAAAACTATACAGTATAAAAATAAATAAAAAATAGTTTTATAACGGATAAATTAAGTTTTATATGATATCCCACATAGACTATTACGGACATTTTGAAATTTTGAGTAGCTTTTAGAAGCAAAGAAAATAAAAACATTTTTTAAATATTTCTATTGCAATATATGTGAGCCAACAATATGTAAAACTATTTCAAGTTTCAAATCGATATCATTAGTAATTGTAGACTTCAGACTTCAAATAAACTTGAAGTGTAATATTTTTCCTGTTGAATTTTCTTCCACATGACCATGAGTTAGATATAGGATATTTTTTATCATAATCCACCTCAGATAAAGTAACTCAGACAGGATACAGCTGGTTTATTACAAGTCATTAGCAAGTCAAAACTCAATGTATCAAATAGGCAAATAAACGTCGACAGTATATATATATATATATATATATATATATATATATATATATATATATATATATATATATAGTATTTTTGTGTAGTATAACATACAATGCGATGACTGACGAGGCGTAAAGAGCGGGATAAAATAATCAAAGAGCTTTCGTTACGTACGTTAAGCTTACCATGCTATACATAACAACTACAGAATCGAAGGGAATCTATATAAGAAGGGCCAATAAGGAAAATACGGGTACGTTGAAATTAATGCTGAAATTGAACGGATGAAATGGATTTTCATAAAGTGAATATGTACATTTTATCAATCTACTAGTTTGGAATTGGACACCTGATTGAATCAATCTGTAAGTTAATAAACCCGTGCATCTAGAGAGATATAAAAATGAATTAAAAAACAAAAATTGGTATCCTATAAAAAGGAGCTAGTCGGATGAGTTTTCATATTACCTACGTGTATAAAATCAATATACAATATGTTTTAGTAAACATTTGAAACCATTTTAAACTGATCTCGTTGTGCTTTTAAATCGTTTATGTAATCTAATATAACACTGCTTGCTTTCTCTTAGGTAAAAGACTTGCAAGCGCCCGTCTAGCTCACAGTTTGCTCGCATCTGTTTGTTCAGAGAGAGGAAACCTTTTAGTTGTTGGATACAGTGTGTGGTACATCGTGTACACATTATGGGAAACATTTTTCATTGTTGTGGATATTTCGAACATTTTAAATGATTAGGTATTTATTGTATTGTTACTTTATATAATATTATTGATAATAATAATTAATATGTGATGTAAGATAAAATAAAACTTGTATAGAGCACGATCTTATGAGTATTTTTGAATCTATGTAGATACAATTATCCGCTATAAATTTGTAAATAGAGTAAAATTATATTATTAAGAAATTATATTTTTAATAATAATAAATCTAGTTGATAAGTATTTTTACATATAAAGTTTATTTAACAATATGTAAGGTATGTTAACTGTTCACTGCCGAATATAGTCCTCCCCTCTTCCCCTATTTGTTGCCTTATAGCGCCTTAACGACTTAATTAATCACTATGAAATTTAATATACATGTACTATATAGGATGGAGAAGGATATTGTCTACTTTTATCCCAGTCAATAAAACCGGCCACGCGGACAATGTCGTGGGTAAGAGCTAGTATAATCTATAAAGTCAGGTATTTTACTCCACAAAATTTAAATTATTTTAAATTTAAATTTTGTGGATAAGCAACGTTTTACCAGTAGTTTTTACGCTTGGCAGGTCACACATAGATATGGAGATGGTAGTCTCCTTTATTAACAATTCCTTTTTCCACCCTTTTTCAACTTGTTGTGGTTATACACTCAATTCAGGACCACACTGCATAGTTTCCATAAAAAACAGGAAAAACTTCAGTTACCTACAGTCTTCTAGTTTCCACAAGAGTGCACTCTTATGCAAATAAGTTAGACATCAACTTTACCTATAGCTACACCTTTAATATATTCTTACATCACTTTAGGGACTTAATACAATGATAGTGGGTAGATAAATTTGAAACGCTGTTCAGTGGTTGTCACATGACATTATCTAACCCTTACATTACGGATTATAATCCTTAATTTAGAGGCATATTTTATTTTAAAGAAATATTATAATTAAATAGAAGATGAAATAAATAAATAATAGGTTTTACTGACCTATAACTGGGCACCGGCCAAGCATGCGCTGCGCATGGTAACCGGACATTTTGCCCTGTTTGGACCCTACGAGACCGCGTTTCCACTGCTACTCGTGGTCTCACACCGCCTTTTGGCTCTGTCACTATTATATGACCTGTGAAATAAAATACATATTAAATATGAAAACAAAATATTACATATAATTTTTTTTTATTAATTAAATCTATAATTATACTTAATACATTAATACTAATTACGCACTAATAGCATATCATTCAGAATGCATAGAATATTTTCTTTTTAGACAAATATTCTTACATGTACGAGTATATTTTATTCTTAAATTATATAAATAGAGTGTCTCCATACAAATACTTAGAAAAAAGCGGGTCCACTTTTTCATACAGTTTTCCGTGATAAATAGTTATGATTCCTTCATAATTTCTATATTTAGTTTCTCTTATAATTCTGCACCTATTTAATGTACAAAAAACTCATTTTTTACATCAAGAAACATTGTGTGCGTAAACATTGTGAGCATTAATAAAAAAAAACGAGTCAGCAAATTGTTAAAAAGTTTACCCGTTTTTGAGGCTCGATGTTCTTTTTATATAATCTAAGATTCTATTATTGTTATTAATAAAAATGCAATACATCCAACAATTTATTTTAACTATAAGCTGTGCTCTGGGTATGTTTTGTCATTTTAATTCAAGCTTTTACCTGCAATTTCATTTGTGTGATCAGATCAGGATATTTTGATTGACCAGGTTAATTAGTAGCCTGTCTTTTTCTATGCTATATATAACAGTATTAATGAAATAAATTTCATGGCGGTTGGTTGAATCGTTAAAGCGCCAGGATGTAATAGACAAACACATTAACTTTCTTATTTAAAAAGTTACCAAGAATTAGAAATATAGATCAGATGAAGGAGTAAAACATAAAAAACATTGAAACATTAATGCTTTTTAAGAATAACTATAATCTAATTTCATGTATAAATTAAATGTTTACTTGTAATTAAATATTCATAATTTTCAGTATTTTTAAATTAAAAAATAAAAAGACAATAAACATCTTGATTAAAAGCAAAGGAAGAAAATTCTTACTTATTGTAATATAATATTTATATAAGTATTTTTAAATAGAAGTAGGTTCTTATTTCTTCCAGTTCCACTTATGAAGATATATGTTTTATTATAGACATAGAAACAAATTCTTTCTACACACTCGGGTAACTGATATTGCGTATTCTTATTTTTAGACAAATTAATGTATTCGAATAGAATATTTTCAGTCGTCGCAATTCAAGAGACATTTTTGATATATTATATAATATAACAAAGAACGCGAAAGGCCAAGATATCTGATGACATGAAGATGGCTTCGTAATTGCAGGCGACATATGCCTGTGACGTTCGCTTTTAACGTATACTTTATTTGATGAGTTAAAAATATAATCTACTATATGTATCCCGCAGCTTTGCTTATGAATTTGTGAATTTGGACAATAATATGTTTTAACAGTAATATGTGTCAAACCATTATACGGCCCATCGATCTACCCAAAGTATCCAATCATTTCAGTCGTATAACAAAGATTTTCTCTTTAATGGATATATCCATTTGAGAAAAAAGTGTAAACTTCGATAATACATTTCATCTTATAGTAATAGGTGACAAATGTCGTTGGTGGCACAACAATTATTGTTATATAATGTATATTATTGTTGTGTCTACTGATAAAAAAAAATAATTTCTGACAATATCAAATGATGTAAAAAATACACTTACCAAAATATTGGCTAGAATACAAGTTTCCGGTTATCCGGTCCCGAACACGGCACTGGAATATATTGTACCGGTCGTCTGGACTGACAGAGCTTATATATAGTGATCCGTCATCCAGACTTTGGTATTTTGTCCCTGCGGATAAGAATTGACGGTTATGTTTTATAGATATTTAATTGTAGTTTAGATCACGTGGTTTATTTTTGTTCTATTACAAGTTGTATAATATCAGTAATCAGGTCGACCTCCAATCGGATTCCGCTGGAAACCATGGTGGTTAAGTCTTCATGAATTTGTGACGGTGGACCAGCTAATCTGCCTCCGTCCTCATCTAACATCCCTCGTTAGGACCCTAACAACGTATACTAAAAGGGTAGGCGAGCTTTCCATTCTTTATTCAATGAAAAAAAATGTGATGAAAAGTAGTTGTTACACATTCGACTTTTAGTCTTTTAACACAGAGTCCTTGACCACACTTATATTATTGTCATATTTTTTTTATACAATTATGCATAAACTTTTATATTGTACATACAGTGTAAATTTAAGTAGGTACTCGTAAAGCGTGTCTAATAAATAATTCGTTAAATTTCCAACAATCCCTTCGTAGCACGTATTTGAAAGCCAAACATCGTGCCAAATTTTAAATTTGTAGGATTTTATGAGGAATCACCGAGTAAGAGGTAGTGATCGGACGTAAATACCTACAGGTATCGTGTTATTCGTCCATCTATGGGTTTGTCACAACACTATATTCAGCAACCACTGTTATTTTTTCTTATTTTTTTTTGGAATCACTGTCATTGATTCTAACTTTGGATAGTGTTAAGCAACATGAAAACTTACTACAACGAAAAAAATAACAAAAAACCAAATTTCGTTTCATGTGGCCAAATAACTTTCTTCGTTATGATTTGTATTAAGTAGGTAATTTTATAAAAGATTTCGAATAATGTTTTCGGACAGTAATAAATAATTATTGCCGGTAGTTATTCTTTTTAACTTTAATTGAAGATATCAAAAAGTTGTAACTTAAAGGTTTGATGGCTGGCGTTTTATTGGAGTCTTGGAAACTAGAAAACTCGTAGTTGAAAAGCTTAGATTAATCAAAAGGATTTGTTGCATTTAAAAACCGTTTATGGTTAATATAACATATATACTGGAAAATATTTTTGACATTTCTGACAACCCATTGGTCCTCAGGAATACATGAGGCATCACACCGTATTCTATGGTATCCTGGTAGGTACTGGTCAGGTACTGTTTGGTGCCGGTTACTACATATTATTAAACGTTTGCCATTCTACGTAAGTAAATTTTTTATACTTATATTAATTAATACGTAATACTAGCTTTTACTCGCGAATTCGTCGGCACTAGTCGACTGGGACGTGTTCATTTTTCTCGCAGGACCTATTTTGTGTAACTTTCATAATGATTTGTGAAGCACATTTTCATTTTTATAAAGTTTGTACGTATTATAATTTAAAATAAGTAATACAGTTCAAATAACAATTTTAATATAACTTCTAAAAACCAAATTCTTTAGTATACAATTGAGAGAAAATAAAAGTGAGTCCATTACATAAAAATTATTAAAACCAGAAGGAGCCTTTGTATAAAAGTCGTTTGCTTGAGCGCCTCTGTCCCATTCGTGTTTTTATCGTGAAGTAGTCGTGTTTGCATGGCTGTGTTTTGGTTTAAAGGGTGGATATGGCACCGAATTTACAGGGTACAGAAGACTAACACCTGAGTCCTCAGAAATGGCAACGCATGGGTGGAGGGGTGTCATGGGCCAAATAGTATAGTTTGTTATGTCCATGGTACTGCTTATGTCTATAGGCGACAATTACCACTTTCCATCAGGTGAGCCGTCAGCTTGTTTGCCATTTTAAGTTGCAAAAAAACACACATTCAGAACTGTACAGAAATACATATACACACACATAACATTAAAATTAATGCTATAGAAATAAAAATAATATATATAATACTAAAATTAGTGCCACCCGCTTCACCTAGGTGGAGAAAGACCGTTCAAATTCAGTTTAACGCGTCGTATTTTTCATCGGCCAAAATGAGATTTGTGATGAAAATGTAATTGCGTGTGTCGCGCATCACTTGACAAGTGTTTTGATGAGAAAATTTCAGCGAGAAATATTTTACGTATTCCCCTTCAGCGCTATATTTAAGACGTTCAAGAGTTATGGTTATTTTGCTCATTTCTGCGTGAGATAAATTCGATAGAATGTGTGATTAATGATGATTATTAATGTTGGCAGTACTAGTATTTCTTTGTATTCTATATGTTATTTATTTTGACCTTAACCTCCCTCGATATTATCCAGTCTTGTTGGAGTTATCTTAGTCATTGTAATACATGAAAATGTAATATATAAAAAAACACGTAATATGTTTACAATACACATCATCATCATATCAGTCATCACCTATCCATTGCTGAACAGAGATCCCTATTGGGAGGTTTGTCAATGGTTGGCATGCTCAACAAGCACATTGTTAGGCTTTGGTGATGTTTAAAGTGGGACGTTGCTGCCCATCCCTACATCATTAAGTTCCCTTAGTCACCTCTTATGACACCCACGGGAAAAGAACACATACTCGGATATAAAGTGATATTTATACGCTCTAAATGAATTTATTTCTCTTTTGGTATTTCTGTGATCTTTTAGTGTTTCTATGCTCTTTTTTGTTCAGAAGATATCGTATAATAATCGTAGTAGTAATGCAAAATAACGTGATCGAATAAAGTTACGCTTGAAGTCATTAGTAGCGTTAGGATCTAGCGTAGAATTAGAAATCTACATTGCAGGCTTATATCTTATTTATTTATTAATTTATAATTGAATTATAGATAAAGGTAAGGAATGACAAGCTGAAGTCCTTTAACGGTATATCTGAAATGTAATAACAAGGATTTTTTTTATGCAACTTAGAATAGCAAACAAGCTGACGGTTCACTTAAAGTTTGTCGAAATATAAAAATATATTTCGAATTTCTTTTTTGAAAAAATAAATTAAAAGGATAATGAATTTACTAATTATCCTAGTCTAGTTACTGACCATTGACCACCAGATAACTGTATACATTTGCCGCTAAACTAATAACGTTTCGGCTAAAGAGTTTCTTGTTTAACCTTTTTTTACAGCTCCGTAACTTCCTCCATAAACCGAAAATTGAAGTTTATTTTGTCCCCAGAGCAGAATACGCGCAAAATTACTTCAAACTGATGTCGCTATGTGGGTGTACTCGTACATTATAAGTCTAAAGAAAGTCATGTTTAAATGTATCGATGTGTTTAATTGATGAGAGAAATAGATATAATATTATATAAGAATGATTATGCATAATATATTAATAGATAAATATTGATGAAAATTGGTGTAGATACAGTTTGGTATCGGAATTAATATACTTTTTTAATAGAGGACATTAAAATATTTATTAAATAAATTAATGAGACATTTTCTGCGGTAGTTTTAGGGCTATTCTATTTAATAGGAAACTAATAAGTATGCTAATTGACTATAATTCATGTTTATAATTACGACAATTTGGGTAATAAATATTATATGAGAATGTTGGATACGCTCCTGTTTATTAAAATTCACTCAAGTCGGTTCAATTGTTTAAGCAAGTGATTGATCGATAAAGTTCTTTCAAATTTTTAATTTTTACAAATTCATAAAATAAAAATCAGTTGCCGAATATATAAGCGTATCATATTAGAACGGCTGCACTTGTTAATTTATTTTTGTTATGTTTATAATTGTCAAGATGAGGTTATAAATCTTATCCTAATAATTACAAAAGAAAAATTGGTATATAACATAGTGCAGATTTGGTGCCATTTTCTTCATTAGTACACCTGTGCGAAGCCGAGGCAGACAGCTAGTAGTATAAAAGTCATCTGTGTGGGTACATCTGTCCTATAGGTGTTTCTGCCGTGAAGTAGTTGTGTGCATGGCTGTATTTAATTTTGGAGTGTGGGATATGGCAGTGAAATTACAAGGCACGGAGGCATAGTCCTCAGGAATAGCAACACCTCAGGTAGACCGATACCTTATTTACTATTCTATTAAAAGAAATATTTATAAAATAGTAAGATAGTTGTATTATTTAACATTACAGTTTATCTGTGTTTAAGCGTAATTGAGTGACGAAAATCTTTTTATAAATACAAATAACTTTATTTTGTTTGAAAAGTGGTAAAAAGTATGGTACATAATATTGAAATATTGTTCACACTCTTCACCAGAATCTGGTATACAAAATTCATTTAATTGTGCCATGAACACTAAACAAAAAACGTAATTATAGTGTCAACATATTTATTTATTAATAATAATATATGTTTTTTTTATAAAATATAACAAAATAGTGGAATTACCTAAGTACTGTAATACACTGATTTCATCATCAGTGAACCAGTCTGTGTGGCCGACCCTGTCGGCGCAGTGAGCAGGCACTACGCAGCGCAGTACTGCCGCGTTTCCCGCTATCACGTACTCATCCGGTACGTGCACCTCCCACGGGATGTTCAGTGCTGTTAAACAAACGAGTATCAACATAACTGGCCACCAGGGGGCGTAACTACAAGTCGAGAAAGTTATAAAGTTAGCAAAGAGTAAAATAAGGAAAAAAAATCGTTTTTGAACTTGCTTCCGCCTCACACAAGTTATAATATTAAAGGGCTTTTAAACTTTTTGCGTTGTTTATACATATTACAAATTTATGATTGGGACTTAACGTGACGTGTTAGTTACCTACTTTCCGTATTTTTTAAAGAAGATACCGTTTACTTCTGTTCTGCCATGATTATGAAGCGGTGCAACATATATCGAAATACCGGTATTAAAAAATAAGGTATGTTAGTATACCCCATTTACCCGTAATAGGACCCGATAGTAAATTTAAAATATGTGTAAACAACGCTAATAGGTAATTATCGACGTACTTGCCAGTTCCTTAATTTTTAAGTGACTTCCGAAATATATATTTTCTATGTATTGTTTACCTATATTACGCGATATTTTCTTTATACTTATATATATTAATAATTCTTTTTGCAGTCGATTGAATTTACTCCAGTGTTTTGAAATTCAGTGATTGAATTTACAAGAGCTTTAATAGTATATTAAAATTACTTGAACTTTAAAGTGACGGTTGAAAAATCCACTTTACTTGCTCTATTTAAGAACTAGCTAATTATACCCCGTAGATTTGAATTTATTATTTATTTAAACTTTAATGCATAGTAAAATTCTATGTACATTTCGCGGACAACACCGGTGTTCTCTACCAGTCAACCATTGGGCAAACCGAGAAATTAGTAGTAATATTGTATAAATGTTTAACACAATTATTAAAGATTATTTTAATAAATTTCATCATTTATATTTTCTTAAATAGCCATCATTTAAATTAGTTTAAAATTTAAATTTCTGTAAATGATTTCTACAAGTGTCAACACTGCTTACAATTTTATTTAAGGTAAATTCCATTTAGAAAAACATTTAATATTACCTAATCTAAGATATATGATATCATATGAAAGGTGCTTCGAAATATAAAGGCAAAAAAAATTGTATTGTATTATATTGTAATCTAAGATATGATAACATAGGCTTATGATAAAATGTCTACGCCTTAATATAATCGATGTCCCTATATTACTCGTATTATACCAGCTGCCAAGAACAATTTCGTTTACTTGAAATTTATTGCCGTTATGTATTCAATAGTCACACTTAGCCTTTAAATTACAATCATTAGAGTACAGTAGTAAAGTTGAGAAAAACAACAGATAGGATAAATTTTTGTATTTATTAATAAATTAATCGATTCCTGTGGCTTTGTACGTCTCAAAATAAAAATTATAAAGAAGTGTATTTATTATTTAGAATATTTAATATATAATGTAATATATATGTAATGTAGGGTAATCTGTTTATATAAGATATAATATTTAGAAATATAAACGTTGGGAGCCTCTTAGTGATAAATAGAAATGAAGCACAAGTATTTACAGTTCATTCAATTTAGATATCATACTACTAAATTATACTTATTTTACTTTGCATATAATATATAACAAATAATATATAACATAAATACCCAACTTCTATTAATCCATTGACATATATTTAACTATAGCTTCTTTAGGACTTCCGTCAACAATAATTGTGATATATTTTATAAAATGACCACGTGGTTTACTATACTTGTTCACTCTTGATACGTCAGAGAGCTCCGCTCTGTTCAACGGTTGGACAAGAAGTGTCTCCCCACCCAAATACGAGTAACAATCTTTTATATCTACAGGGCCGAACAAGTCACAAGTGAACAAGTCAGCGAGACTACGTGTTCTTACAATTTCATTACTTTTTATTCAAGTATCATGACAATAATTAATTATAAAATTAATTAAAATATTAATTAGTGTTCTATATACATTACATTATATTTAAAGTAGTTAGTCTGATTTTTATTAATAAATGTAGGTGCACATTTTAACACATGATGTTTAAGAAAATTTATATAATTTAAAATAAATATCTAACACACGCATGACATCGTGTTTTAAGTCGAAATTTTCAAAATTCTTTCTTAGCGAACGCTTGCATCACATATTTCAATTATAATTATAAATGTTTCAAATTTAAACTTTCTAGCACTTAGTAGGCTGTGTATTGAAATACACAGCCAAACTTACTAAGTGCCTTAATATAAATAGTAAGTAAAGATAAACGATTATACGAGTATAAATATAGATTAGCATTTATTTACGCAGCGTAGAGTTAGAAAAAATAAAAATTTTGTTCTATAGAAAGTGACTACTTTAATCATGTAATGTGTAATAATAATTTTGACGATTTAATGCCATTTTATTGTTATTTTCGTTCTGCTGATATTCTCATTTTTGAGTCAATTACGCTATAAAACGCTCTCTGAGCAAATTGGAGCTTTCTCGTACAGTAAACAGTTTAAAATACTATTATATTAATAAAAATTATAAACCTTACCTGCGTGTACATGTATATTCCTAGATAGCACAGCGTACCCGCTGCTGAATCTTATTCTACATCTATAGGTGGTGGAGTGTACGTCCCGCCGGTATCGGTCAGCAGGGAACGGTGGAAGTTCTAGGGAGCCATTAGCCAGCACACGCCGAAGACCTAGCACCGAAATCGCCGGCGTATTGTCCAGTAGGAGCCAGTCCAGCTGCAAGAGAAAATAAAACACTTCATATTGTATACAGAGTTTTTATTTTGAACTTGCAAGTGTGGAGTACATTGTTTACTGAGGTTTTTTCGAGAGACTACAGTCTGGGGTTTTTAAAAAATGGTGTATTAACGTCCCTTCAGGGTCGGCAACGCGCACGTGATAATCGGATTGGTAATCGCAGTTAGGCTTTGGAATGTTTATGGTTATGTTATAAAAATTTAGTTGTCATAAAAAGTTAGTTCTCAAAATTCGAAACGTATGTATTCACTTGTTACCACATAATGACTATCACTTTTAATTACATTTACAGGTTGTTTGCTATTTTATATAATATATCAGTTCAATTAGGTAAGTACATTTATGTATGGCGCCATATTTTCAACGATTCTCAACCAATTTACCATTGATAATTTTTAAATAATAAATATACATTTTTCATTTGTAAACTTATAAGTTATATAAACAATAAGCCCACAAATATCAATTAAATTAATGATAAATACTTCATACACATGTAAGTAGGTAGATTGATCATCTATGTAACTGAAGTTAAAGGCGACAGGCCACGAGGACATGCCAGCATTCACCAATTCAATTCAACACAGGTATTGTGTGAGTTGGGACAATACGATAGAAGCAGTAAGGTTGAACCGATCTGGATTAACAATTGGGTTCGTGCGATAAGCAAATATTCTCACCGTAGCTTCACAATATATCACGCAAGGATCCTCAATTCATCAATTCAATCCTTAATAATAGATTTTGCTTCGAAAAAGAAATAAAGATAATGAATATTATATATATATATATATATATATATATATATATATATTTATATATATATATATATATATATATATATATATATATATTATTTATCATACAATGAAACTAATTGCTTGGTTTTCTTAAATTAAGATATTCTGTGTTATAAAAATTATTTTAAATAAAAATAAGACTCATGGTTGGCATAAAATTTATTTAATTTATGCTATTATGGAATAATATTTTTGTATAATATGTAGACAAATTTTGAAAAAATTTCAATTGTAAAAAAAATACCAAAGAATTATAATACTATTATTACCAAACTTATAACAATATCTTAAAACTTATTCTATTTTATCATTTGAATATAAAATATTCTTTTCTATCTTTTCAAAGAGGCTATATTTGCCTTTTAGACACTTGTATAAGCAATGTGAAAAATGGAAAGATTTTTAAGTATTGTTGCAATGTTATCGTAGGTATGTTAATGTAAATCTATTTGAATAAAATCGATTTGATATGATTTATTTTTTTCTGTAAAAAGTAAACAGATTTCAATATCTATAGATTGCTTAACTAGTCTATATATAACAAACCCTTACAGTATAAAAGTAAATTAACGGTTTTAACTGTATTTTTATATTCCAACAATTTCGATTGATCGATTGGTTATATGAAAACGTCATAATGCATTAAGATTTAATAATTTATTAAAAACCTATTTTCCAAATTCAGAATGCAATGTTCATGAGCTACAACTGTATGTTGATTTAAATAATAATTTGACCTTCAGGCAAAGACTGGTAATGATTTAAATTAATCAGAAAGTAGGTGCTAAACTCACAGTCTTCTCTATATTGGATTAAAAATTCTATAAAAACCGGCCGTATATAACTGAGGATAACGTATAAATTATTCACTTATAGTATCGATATTACGTTATAGCAAAAATGTACACAGGTGAATTTATCCCTTAAAGGGATAACCTTAAGAACCCGAAAGGAGAAAGTGTATATAATTATAATATATATTATTACTAATAATAATAAAAATAGTGTTGTAACTACAAACTTACGATATTTGGATTTTTGCCTTTATCTGTCCTTTGCATTGCTTGTTGCCAAATTTTATGATGCTAAGTAGTATTAATATTGATTCAATTGTAAATATCAAAATGTAAGCTATAATTTGATTGAGTTAACTAGGAAGGATGAATTTTTCAAAGCCTCAAGGGATTGCAGACTTTTTAACATTAATTGCAGCTTGATGTTTTCACGCGTTCCTAACAAAAAGAGTCTTGATAGAAAGACAAACAGATGGACCACTATGTGATCTTATAAAAGTTCCGTTTTTCCTTTTGAGGTATGGAACCATAAAAAAGATTTTATTGAACTAGTTGTTGTTTTGTGGAATTCCATTTTATTTGTTCATCAGGCTTATTTGATTAGAATTGTTTAATTCCGCTCATTGGCAGTCGCACAGATACTAATAGTAGCGGAATTAAACAAGGTAATTCCGATCGAATAACCATAAAGAATAGCAAATCCAAGTACGTTATTTTCATTGCGTATACAAGCGTCACGTGACAGTAGGCACTACCTCCTCTGTCTATGTATGTATTAGAATTGCGAATATATATTGTTTAAGAAATGTAGAAATTCTGCTCATAAAAATAATAAATTCAAATATAATATCTAACAAGATTTTACTTGAATATAGCCTTGATTTAATACCATTTTCACGTTATTCCCGACAGCTACTTTTATTAGGAAGGAGTGCCAAGAAAATAGAAGGAAACGTACATAACGCGCAATAGCTATGAATTAAGGAAAACGGCTGGCCCCTAGATTATATAAACCCACAAGATGTTCTTACGTCGCGAATTTTAAGTCATTGCATAACTTTTCAGAGAAAAAAATAAAGTTGGCGAGACATAGCGGTTTCGTGACAGTTAAATACGTTACAACACGATATTTATAATACTTTAGGGAGTGTTAGGAAAGGTTATAAGCTGGAATTTTGCTCCCCCGCGTGTCTTTCGCATGCCACGTTTTTCCCAACTTTTCTTTTGAAGTAAATATTTGTAGTCGTGAACCGACATGTTCACGGTCCGGTCCCCGAAGCAAATTTATTTTCTACTACACTAAACGCGACCCACGGGTTCATTTGCATGGGTAACTCTGTGCTACTCACACACATAATATAATTTATCTATTTATATGTGCAACTGTGCTTGGCTGTGTTTCTGCCCCTTATTGCATAGGCAGAGAAAATAGAATGATAAGGCCGAGGAACATATCTCTTGCTTTATCTATTCACAATTCTCAAGCTGGTTCTGAAAACTGAGTTCTCCTCTATTGTTAACGAGTCTGATCATATAACTACTGCCAAAAATACTGTTACATAAAAACTTTTCTTTTTTTCCTGACATCAACCCTTTAGACATCAAGTTATGGTCAGTTTTAAAGGGTATGGCTTGCTCTAAATGACACGGCGACATTAAATCTTTAAAAATCTTTGGAGTACGCAGTGGTGAAATTTCCCTTGGAAACAGTGCGTAAATCCATAGATTCGTAGCCAGACAGATTAATGGTCTTTTTAAATTTTTTTGCTGAGACTTTTTATTTATTTACTTATGTTTATTCGCATACCATGTGGTACAAATTAGATATTATAATAAGTTATGTGGTTACTTGACACGTGACACCCGCCGGTAGGGCACCGCAATTTACAGAGAAAACCATCCACTTTAATAAATATGTAGGTATAAATTTTAGTAATACTACATTACTTCATAAAAAAATGCATTTTTATTTGTAACAGAACTTATGGCTACGCTAGGTATATTAAGATCTCGGATACTTACATCTTTCGTACATTTTGTTGTTAACTGTTTATAGTATGAATTACTTTAAATATTTTTCAAACTCATTGCAACGAAGCTCATTTCTCTTTAATTAAAATCAAAGCTTTTTATTCTCAGCACGTTTCATTAAGTTCGAGAGGAATTTTTCTTAATTAATTAAATAATTTCCTTGACTAAGCTTATTTTTACGTTTCCCCCTAATGATGTTTTGTTTGTCCTTGTGCTTGGCGGGGTGCCGCAGTGGACCGTCTAGAGTCTAGGGTTGGCAAAATAGAACTACACAAATAAGTAACTTTTTCCTGACATTTTTTGTTAATTATTGAAATAGTTCATAATAAAAAAAAAACAAAGACAAATAATAACAATCAATAAAATAAAATAGTCACAATAATGACGATTTTTACGTACTGATGGATAAATGACGTAATGGAGTATAAATTAAAAGTATCACTATTCACCACTTTTTCTATTGTGAAGATATATTTAGGGGAACATACTTCAATATGAGAAAATTATTTAATAGTGCCACATTATGGTTTTTTAGAGATAAAAATAAAATAATAACTTCGTCTGTGCTAGTGTACGCTGACGTGGCACTAGTGAGAAGTGATAGATGAGGATTAAGTTAGGTTAGATAGGCCATTGTGAGGAATTCATCGGAAGTAAATCATGATGGTTATCATGGGAGTCAAGCAGAGGCGGAACTGATTATATATCTGATAATAGGGTCTAGCAACTCTATTTGTTGCGATAGAGTCGCTAAATCCTATTATATGATGTTTATATGATGATTATTATTATTATTATGAAAAGAGAAATTGTCATATTCTATTAAAAAACTGACACAAAGCTGAGAAATCTCTGGCTTTAGCGACCCTACCCCCGCTCGAGTAGGATACCTCGTTGAATATTTTAAACGGCTCAACTTCCCAAGCGTCTGTCACATAAAGCCTTAAGGCTCAATATGTTTAAACTAAACCTATTTATTGTTCGTAAAAATATATTGTGTCCATTTTTATAGAGAGTATAAAATGTAAAGTATGTGTATGGATTCATGAAAGTCGACATTGTGGCAAACCTTATAAAGGGTCCTTTTTGTTGTACTTTATTTTAGGGACAAAACGCCTCATAACGTGAACCGATATTTGCCGGTACAATATTATGAGTAAAACGTTTAGTTCGATGTGTTTACTATGTTACAAATAGGTTTGATTATCTATTTTTTATTTGCTAGCAGCCAAATGATAAAAAAATAAATGAGCATACCCATTCTCATAAATCTTGTTTTTCAATTAGAATTTATTTATTTATTATTCATTAGTACATGTATGTATATAAGGAGGACTTAGTGCTTAAAGCATTA